GTTCGGGTATTTTCCCACGTCATTGTAGTTATGCTTTTAAAGAAGCCTGATGATGGCAGATGAGATTCTGCCGAAACGTTGCTACAACTTTAAAAGCACAACTACAATGACGTGGGAAAACACCCGAACAAAGCTGAATGCCATACATGTAAGTACCCACAAAAACTTAAGAAAACACACACACACACACACATATGTGTGTGTGTGTGTATGTATATATAAAATACCGCCCACTCCTTTAACCTCAAACTATCCACTATTGACCTCGTCCCATTCCTAAGAGGGTAAGGGGTGTGCATAAGTGCACAATTGTGCTTACCATCCCTGTCCTTTTGTTCCCATTTATTCATACCTATTTCCTGTATTGTTACTCATGTTTATAGTTATACCTATTATCTTGTAAGCAACTAACAAATCAAATAAATAAAATAACATAAAATATTTAGTCTGGAGGAGACAGCAGAGAAACATAATAACTTTCTTCAAATACTTGAATAGCACTCATATTAAAAATGATACTGGTTTGTTCAAAATTGTTCCAGAACACAAGGATTAATTATCCTAAATTAAAAGGATCCCTATTTCAATTAGACATTAGAAAAAAAGGTAACAGACTTCCTTGGGAGAAAGTGAATTTGTCTTCATTGAAGGTGTTTAAACAGAGACTAACTGCTTTCTATCAGGAATGCTGTATCAATGGATTCCTGACTCAGCCTACACTCAATTAATATACTCAATTAATTCCATCCAATCTTTCCATTCTGTAGGTCTATGAAATCATTTCATTGTAATATACAGTGGAATGTAGAAAGTTTCTGCTCAGGCAGAATTACAGATTGGGGCAAACCCTTTTTATGATCTCAGTAAATGCACAATGGAAAATAAAATTAAGGTGGAGGGGAGGTTTTTTTCAATGGTACCTCAGTAAGGATAGGCTTGAAAGTATAATGCACTGGGTCATATTAGAGATGTCAAAGGAAGCCATATTACTTTGCAAGCTGCCCCAAATGCCCTAAATTACACATGTTTGCACAATTTAAGTTAAAGTGGAAAGACAGTAAGAATTGTCCTGCAATCAACTGTTCTGATTACAGTAAGCTATAAAAGTGTTGAGTTATGAGCTAATTGTCATTTATTTCTCGATCCTTATGCCCTGTAGATATGTTGAGACTCATTCCCTAAATAGTATAATTCTTTTGGGATTTTGGGAGATAAAAGTCCTAACATATTATTAGAAGGAGCTCTGGTGGTGCAGTGGTTAAGTGCAGTATTGGCAAACTCTGCTCACGGTCTGGAGATTGATCCTGATGGGGCTCAAGGTTGACTCAGCTTTCCAAGGTTGGTAAAATGAGGACCCAGATTGTTGGAACAGTGTACAAATATGCTTTAGACTATGCTTATATTGTAAACCACCCAGAGAATGCTGCAAAGTGCTGTGGTGTGGAATGTAAATCTAAATGCTCTTGCTATAATGGGGTATTTACATTTTTAAATTGTATAGAGATTATTGTATGGTCTGTTGTGTTTAATTTTATTTTTCTTTCAATGGTGTTGTCCAGTTTTACTTGTGGAAGAGCACCTCATTTCGTTGCACCCGCTTGCGAGTGTAATGACAAATAAATTCTTATGTCTTATAAGAGGAGGACATACAAGGATGGAGACTTTATCACATAATACATACTGTATTAGAAAATCTATGACTTAGCTTCATTATGGCTATATCATAATTTTTTTATATATAAGTGAATTAACTACTTTGCATTCAGCACAACCAAACTATACCATACATATGATTTATCTTTTATCTTAAAAAAAACAACAGGCTGCTGTGAAAGCTGTTGTTGCATCAACTCGTCTTGGAAGTGCAAGCTGCCATAGCAGCCATGACAGCAATAAGCTCAGCGAAAACCAGCTTGCAAGCTCAGAAGATGGTGCAGAAGAAAAAGAGACATCAATATGCCACATAATTCAGGAAAGGGGCATTCAGGAACAAGGATCTGAAGGAGGAGAGCCGTAAACCTTGCAATGTCTTCTTCTAAGCAAAGACCTCCCATTTCATGCACCAGCCAAATTACCATTCAACAAGAATGAATTATGGATGACTTTGCTTTCAGATGTAAAGTCCAACTGTAGCTGGTGACCTGCCTGAACTTTAATGCATGTGATTGCTTCTGAAAAACAGTAAAGTCTTTTATTGGCATGCCGTGGATAAAGTGATGTTTACAATAATGCCAACAGGTGAATTGGAGAATAGGAAGTATGCACAAATCTTATGAGCAACACAAATAAGTAATGTAGAATGTTTATAAGATAATATATAAAATGCAGGATGGTTATTGCTTACACAAGAAAGGCATTCTGTAGCAATCATGACATTTTTCCAATATGCTTCCTTTCAAATTTGTAATTATCCAGTAGGCACAAGGATCCACCAACTGTTTTTTTAAAAGCCTATGAAAGTGTTTTATTTATTAATGATATCTTAAAAATTATTTATAATGGAAAACTTAGAGATTTATATGCAAAAACATTGTTTGTTCTTTTGAAAAATTGAGAAGTGATTGGAATGACTAAAAGATCTTGATGCTGATGTTTAGAATGCCTTACCTCTGTTGATAACCATTTCTATATAGTCTTAATTTATAGCTGCCATTTGGCATTTCAGAATTAAATATTCCCTTGGCAGAACCAAATTCCTGTAAGAGTTGCACACAACCCAAGAGGGTAAATAAAAGATGCTGCAGAAAACTTAGAATCAGCCATCATTATGAAATTGTACTATTGTTTATAGAAAATTGGGAATATTTATCTGAAATTTTAGAATTATACTGCAAGAAGGATATGTGGTATCCAGAAAGAGAATACACAACATACTGTAGAAATACTTACACGGTAGGTAATGTGGAGACTTTCTGCAGTCAGAGGATGTGTGAATGGGGTGCCTTGTCAGTATATAATCTTTACCAAATATAGCTTATGTGAGTTGAACTATCAGTAGAAGGGCTTTTTGACAACAAACTTTTCTTTGTAATTCAAACATCTGAATTCCTTAATACAAAAAAATTACAAAGAAAGAGATGACAGTTATCCTAACAGCCCAGTTCTATATATTTCTACTCAGAAATAAGTCCAAAAGAGTTAATAGTATATATTCTGTGATAATTGGTATAGTTTTAGAATTTCAATCTCCCAGAAACTAGTTAAGTGTATAATTACAGTCTTATTTGCTTTTTATTACACACACAATAATATACGTTCAATAATTTTTTCTTTTCTTAATTATGCTTTCAGCAGCATTATCCATCAGTAGAACTGCAATTATTAGTAAACCACATGTTCCGAAGCAAAGGGAGTGCATTATTTTAACTTTTTATTATATTAAAATGAAGGGTAAATGAACATTATTTGTGTGAGGCTAAGTATGATAGAATCATGGTCTAGTACAAAATAGTGTATGTTTGTTTCTGCAGTAAATATTATATATGCTTTTCTAAAATATACAATGTTATTCTGAATGCATGAATAAGACGTGAGAAATAATTGTTTCACAGAAGGAATAATTGGAGCAACCACAAGGAATCATTGCAAGATCTTATTCTTATGAGTTGAAAAAGGTGGCTTAATATCTGCATTGACAACTACATACCTTGCCTGGAGTAAATGATTTAGACAGTAAATTAATAACAACTATAATAAACCTCCAGCAATATCTAAAGAACTTCATATATGTGAAGAAAGTGTGCGCATGCACACACACATACACACACACACTTTTGGTGAACTGCATTCTCTGAACTCAAAATAATCCCCTTTTCACATGCTGAATCTGATATACAAATTCCCTAAGCCTGTGGAAATCTATGTAGATATTCAAACCATCAGATCATAGCTTCTAGGTGTAGTTAAATGCATGGCCCATTGAAATGAATCAATTACTTTTGTAGTTTTCACCATGACTTGCATTGATGGTTTAGATAGCATGAATATAAGGTTATTATTTTCATGAATTTGCTTTCATTGATTTTGCTATATGAATGTATCTGTGTGTTTTAGTCCTAGCAATTGTGGAAACACAGGGTATAAGTGGTAATTTATTTGATTATGCTGCACATTTTCCACTGAGATTCTTCTATAAAATTAGTATTTTATGAATGACAACAGTGATGAAAAAGTAATTTTATAACCAATTCTTACATTTACGATATTAGCAGATCTGTAAAGCAAAGGAAAGCTGAAGTAATTTGATAAACTCAGTTTACTTTAGCATCTCCTTTGCTTAATTACTGAGTTGCCAGTCCCAATTGTGGTCACTAAATTACATTTCATTTAAAATTGTCTATAAAATGCCTTTTAGTACCAGCATTTTAGTACCAAGGAATCTAAGTTAGGTGCTCTTGAGACAAGTCCAACTCCAGTTCATTTTTTAGTAAAAAGTCAGCAGTCTCCTTGAGCCCCATCTAATCAACTTTATTTTCTTCATGTGATCAAGTACCATGTTTTTTCTAACCTTTTTCCCTCTTGTATCACATGCTCAGAATACAATATGTTAATTTTTTTTATTTGCAGTCGATTGTCTTAAGGGAAAGATCAGCCTTCATTTCTAACAAGAATGGTCAATGTTTTAGTAACATTCCCAAAATTTTAAACTCAAACGACTGTACTTCAATTTTTCTCAATATTCAGTGTTATATAATGCCTTTCAAAAGACCAGTATTTAAACTATTCTGTTTAATTGTTCATTTCTTCCTATAACTAAGAAAGAAGTTTCATTTCTTACTAGGAATAATCCTCCTTTTTACTCTTCTAGCACATTGTCCATTTTTATCTAGAGCAGTGTTTCTTAAACTGTTTTTCCCTTCAAAGTACCCTTTCCCACTTTTAAAAAATTATGGAGGACCCAAAAGAGTTTTTGTTTATATGAGTTATGTTTATCATTATTTAGGATATTAAAAATTAAAATTGAACATTTGTTATCGCAACCACTTCTCAAGATTGTTTGATGGGATGATTTAAATATTGGATTATTTTTCAACATAGCCTGATAAATATTTTGCAGACCTGAGAGGGTCTTGAGGTATGCCTAGGGGTCCTAGGATCACCCTTTAAGAAATACTGATCTAGAGTAATATTTACTTCAAGAAAACAAGCCGTCACTTCTTCACTGTCATGCAAGTAGATATTATTTTGGTAGTCTTAATATTTAATATTCATATTGATTTTTAATTTTCCATTTTAATATGCACAATAATTATAATTCTTTATCTTTGATTGATAAAATGGTGTCATAAGAATTTCTCAAAGCATTAGTATTTGTGCCGATTTCAACCTTAAAATCCTAGAATCTGCCATTCTTAAAACACATTGGTGGTATAAATTAAATTCAAGAGAGAATATATATCCTTTTGTTGCTCATTTTCCTATTCCAAATCACTCTGTTTCATCAAATTTAAAGCTTCTTGATCATACTTACAGTTTCTTAGAAAAACAGTCAGATATTCTGGCACACCATTAGCCTTAAAACCTTCTACAGTACATTCTATATGATTTACATAGTGAAAGACTTTCTTCTACTCAATGAAGAAAGGATAAATTTCTTCAATTTTTTGCTCTTCATTATCAATTTTATATTAGCTATTTGTTCCCCTGTCCCTCTGCCTTTCCACAAATCTGCCTTAGTAATTTGGCATTTCTGTCTTCCTGTACAGCTTTATTCTTTAGTTGATCAGGTATATAAGTCTCTAATCCATAGTCTTGTCCCACATTTAATTATTATATATCTTTCTTGCTGACCAAGATCTTAATTCCCTATCTTTCTTTTAAATTATCAATTGCTTGTTCTACAAGTAGTTGAATCTTTTCTTCTTTGAAATGGTGGTTTTGCTTTTCCTGCTTTGGATTTCTGACTATCTCTTATTTCTGCCCATTGCTCCTCGGGTTCTCTTCTACATGAGTTAAGTATTTGTTTGTTTGTTCGTTGCATTTTTACATTTTGGCTGCTCAGGTGGTTTCTGAGTGTTATCTTGCTGGCATATCTACTTGTGACACAGTTCCAATTAAATTATGGTACAAACCACAGATCAAAAGTTTGAATGCTTCACTTTCATTAAATGGTTTATTTTTAAATATATACATTTATAATGTAATAAACCTAATATATACAACTAATCTACTTTTATGCCTAATATATGTATAAGTGATAATGATGTAGCTCTAAGTGAAAAGGAACAATATTTAATAAACTAACAAATTTTTCCTTTTCGTTAGATTAACTGTCCACTTTTTCCAACAATAAAATATTATTGCCCCACATTTTTTTATTTAACCCACACATTTCATAATTAGGATTCTGCTTCTCTTACTTAGGGCTTTGTCTCCTTTACACTTAGCCCTGTATTATCCTTCAACCCCAGCCCCTACACCTTGGTAGGTGCCACTAAAATTTGAAGTAGTTTTGTAATTGTTCTGTTTTATTGAATTGCTTCTTTGACTCTGTTTATAAGATGCAGAAAACAATTACTTGTTGCTGGCTGGCTATAGCTGGTCTGCATCTTTGAAAGGCTATAAGCTACTCCTTTCTCAACTGTAGAAGATATTGGGTCTCTTTGGTTGCTCCAATTGTTTTAGTTTCACCATTTCAACACACAGCTGGCTGCTTTAACTCTCTAACACTCTTGCCTTTCTCTCTTCCACTGACAGCCACACCCTGTGCCTTCAGTGTTCCTCTTTTATCTCCATGCAATACAGGAGTTGGTCCTTACTCCCTCAAAGTCCCAAGGGCACAATCCATAAAAAAGGAAAACTCAGGTCAGCAGCTTTCAATTTTTCCTGCCACATTCCTTTTCCCTTTAATTGAGGGTCTCTTTACCTATTGCGCCTGTTATCTTTGTTAGCTGTTTGACAAGAAGCTTCATTCCATAGCATGATATATAGTCTGCTTGGAGGTTGCTTTTTCCACCTTGAGACTAAATGGTAAACTTTTAAGGTTTATGCTGGTCAGTGATGATTTGAAAATTTCATTCCCATAGAAAGACTTTAAGCTCCTCCTAGAGCCATCATAGTGCCAAGGCCTTTTTTCCGATGGTGTTATATGTTTGCTGTTTTGGTGCCAATTTCTCAGCCAAGTCTATGATAAGGTGATCTCCATTATATAGTTCTATATTAGGGCTACTCCTAGTCTTATTCTATTTGCATCAATGAACACTCTAAAGCATCTATCAAAGTTGATTCTGCGTAGAGCAGGCTTGCTGCATAAGGCACTT